AGATTTTCCCAGAGAAACATCTAAAGTTCCATGTCTAGATGGATTCATTAAGCTAAGGTTAGCTACTGTAACAGATAAATCCTCAGGTGTATGAAGAAATAAATGCCATTTCTTTTCATGTCATAGTCAATAGGGGCGACTCTGGTCAGGTGGCCTTTTATGTGGCTATTCAGGGGCTCAGCCTTCTCTCATATTTTCATGCTGTCTCCCTTTAAGTTGGGGGCTGTGTGAAGGTTCCAAACACAGCAGTAGCATAGGCTAACTGAATGAATGCACAAAATCAAGCTGATTAAAACATTTGAACTGACAAATGCGGAAAGACTGAGAGAGAGAAAGTCTAGTGGGAGGTTTTATGGGCCAGGGCTAGAGGTGCTGTACATCCATTCCCTTGGCCTGAGTCAGTCACATGGCCACAGCTAAGAACAAGGCAGTCTGGGAAACCCAGTCTAGCTGGTCCCTTGGCCTGAGTCAGTCACATGGCCACAGCTAAGAACAAGGCAGTCTGGGAAACACAGTCTAGCTGTTCCCTTGGCCTGAGTCAGTCACATGACTCAGAGCTAAGAGCAGGCAGTCTGGGAAACAGTCTAGCTGTTTGGTGAAGAGGAAATGAAAACAGGTTTGCCAAACATCTAGCCAACTGGGTATAGAAATCCAACTTTAGTCTCTCCTCGCTATCCCCTACTTGATAAGGTCCCCCCCTCCCCCGCCACCGGACTCAGTGATCTCTGTTGTTCTTTCTACCTTAAGATACTATGTCTTTGAAATAATGAGTTACTATATAAGTTCAGCATTAGTCAATGAATACTGCTAATGATTAAAAAGTTGTGTACTTTTTCAAAATTAATGATTTGGATTTTAGCCCAGATAGATATATCTCGGTTTGCAGAATGTGATTCCTTATTTTGTTATTTTTCAAAATGTTTATGAGGTATATTAGGAAAGTTTGCAGGGTATTCTTTTTTTTAATTTCAGCATATTACGGGGGCACAAATGTTAAGGTTATGTGTGTTGTCTTTCTCCCCCCCCCGGAGTCAGAGCTTCATGCGTGTCCGTCCCCCAGACGGTGTGCATCGCACTCATTATGTGTGTATATACCCATCTCCTCCTCCCCCCTCCCATCTGCCCGATGCCTGATAAATGTTATTCCTGTATGTCCACTTAGGTGTTGATCAGTTAAGACCAATTTGCTGGTGAGTGCACGTGGTGCTTGTTTTTCCATTCTTGGGATACTTCACTTAGTAGAAGGGGTTCCAGCTCTATCCAGGAAAATACAAGCGGTGCTAACGTTGTTTCTTTTAGCTGAATAGTACTCCATGGTGTACATATACCACATTTTATTAATCCACTCACGTATTGATGGGCACTCGGGTTGTTTCCACATCTTTGCGATTGTGAATTGTGCTGCTATAAACATTCGAGTGCAGGTGTCTTTTTCATAGAGTGTCTTTTGTTCTTTAGGGTAGATGCCCAGTAATGGGATTGCTGGATCAAATGGTAGATGCACTTGTATCGCTTTAAGGTATCTCCATATTGCTTTCCAGAGAGGTTGGACTAGTTTGCAGTCCCACCAGCAGTGTAGGAGTGTTCCTATCTCTCCATATCCACGCCAACATTTATTGTTTTGGGACTTGTGAATAAAGGCCATTCTCACTGGAGATAAGTGATATCTCATTGTGGTTTTGATTTGCATTTGCCTGATGATTTGGGATGTTGAGCATTTTTTTTCATATGTTTTTTGTCTATTATTCTGTCTTCTTTTGGAAAGTTTCTGTTGATGTCCTTTGCCCACTTTTTGATAGGGTTGATTTTTCCATGCCGATTTTCCTAAGTTCTAAATAAATTCTAGTTATCAGCCCTTTATTGAATGTGTAGCTTACAAAATTGTTCTCCCATTCTGTAGGTTGTTTGGCTGTGCCAAAGTTTTTTAATTTGATCAGGTCCCATTTATTTATTTTTATTGATGCTGTGATTGCCTTTGGGGGTCTTCTTCATAAATTCTTTGCCTAGGCCAATGTCTAGAAGAATCTTTCCAACATTTTCCTCTAGAATTCTAATAGTTTCACACCTTAGGTTTAAGTCTGTTACCCAGTGTGAGTTGATTTTTGTGAGAGGTGAAAGGTGTGGATTGTGTTTCAGTCTTCTACATGTGGCTATCTAGTTTTCCCAGCACCATTTATTGAATAAGGATTCTTTTCCCCAGTGTATGTTTTTGTCTCAAAGATGAGATGGTTTTATATCTGGGTTCTCTATTCTGTTCCACTGGTCAATGTCTCTCTCCTTGCACCAGTGAAAAGCTGTTTTAATTACTATAGCCTTGTAGTATAGTTTGAAGTCTGGTAAATTGATACCACCCATTTTATTTTTATTGCCTAGGATCACTTATACTATATGGGGTCTTCTCTGGTTCAATATGAAGTATAAAATTATTTTTTCTATGACTCTGTAGGTCACTTTGGGTAGTATAGACATTTTAACAATGTTGATTCTGTCCACCCACGAGTACCGTATGGTTTTCCACCTGTTTACGTCCTCTGCTATTTCCTTCCTCAGTGTTTCATTGTTCTCCCTGTAGAGATCTTTTACCTCCTTAGTTAAATATATTCCTAGGTACTTTAATTTCTTTGTTGCTATTTTGAAGGGAATTGAGTCTTTGATTTGCTTCTCACTTTGACTGTTATTCGTGTATATGAATGCCTCTGATTTGGTGTGTTGATTTTGTATCCTGAGATTTAACTGAATTCATTTATCATCAATTCCAGGAGTCTCTTGGTTGAATCCTATGGTTTTCTGGATATAATATCATATCATCAGCAAAGAGTAAGCATTTGATCTCTTCTAGTCCCATTTGGATGCCCTTAATTCCGCTCTCTTGTCCGATTGCTATAGCAAGGACTTCCAGCCCTATGTTGAATAGAAATGGAGATATACCTCTCAGTATGCTGTAGGGCCCCAAAAGGAAAGGTCCTTTTGGAGTCTCCTGTAGTCTCAAGCACCCCTTCTTTTGACCCTTATTCGATGTATGCTTGTCTGGTTATTTCTTCCACTTTCTTCTAAAATCTATCTTCTTTGCAGAGACACTCTGGCTGGCGGTGTTTCTCATTTGCCATGTTGCTCCTGCCTTGATAAGGGTTTAAAATTATATACTTGTGTCTCAACTAGTGGAATGAATCACTTATAGGAAGGTATTTCAATAATCCAGTTGGGAGATGGCAGCAGACTTTGCAAGGGAGTATGTCTACACATCCAGGTTTTCCCAGGAGAAGCCCTATTTATGCCCGTGGCCGCAATGCCTTCTTTAGCTATCAAAACTATTACCCCAGTTTGGATGATAAAGTATATAGTCATCCAGTCACCATACAGACACTTTTGCATAAAGACAGTATTTTTTTAATTTTAAAATTCTGCATCTGAAAACACAGTATGACAGAAAGCATCTATATACACCTGCAGTGTTTTTGGTATGATACAGTATTTAATACATCCACTGTTTTCTGCAAAAAATTTTGCTTTGTCAGACAGAAACAAACTCCCCTAGACAAAAAAATACAGCTAAGGCACAATTTTTTTGTTGTTGTTGTTCTTGTTTTCTGCTAAATGAAAAGACAGAAAAGGTGCAAAAATGGGCAGGTAACGCAATTGTTTCCAAGAGTCACATTCTACTTCGAAGAAAAGCTTTCAAATGATTGGAACTTTGATTATTGTTCAATTTCTGATAGTTCAATATCTTTTAAAATACTCCTTTAAATAAATAGCAAAATATCTACATCTTTCAGCGTGTGCCATTTGAATTCTCTTTTTTTTTAAAACTTTATTTACAGATTCTCTTTTTTTTAAAATCAATACAAAATATTTCTGTACAGTTTTATGCATATTATGATCTATAACAAAATAGTTATTTTTAAAAACTATATCACCACATCTTTGAAAACAATGAAGGGGATGGTAATAACTTATGGTGAGGCCTCTAAAACAAATACCCAAACAAACGCTATTGACAACATAATATGTTTTTAAAAAAGACAAAAGGACTACAAAGACAATTGCGCTCAATTCCAGTGAATTTCCTATGAAAACCCTGGGGTTGTCTTTGGCCTCCATCAGCACTGGAGCGATGGAAGGGTAGAGTCTGAAGGTAGGCAGAGGGTGATCCCTTTGAGAACACTACCCATCTGCTGGGAATATTTAGTGCTATCACTTTCCAAGCAGGAAGGACAAAGGATAAACTGAGAAACCCTCCTGTTTTATCCTTGGAGGAAGTACACAAAGTCACCCAGTCTTGCGGGGAGGGAAGGGGAGGTTTGGAAAGCACTCTGCAGGTAATTAAGCCAGCCCATTACAGAGGCAATATGCTCTAAGAGAGTGCTTCAGGAGTTGGCTAAGGTTTAGATGAACACCCAAGCCTTTATTTTGCCCATAGGAAAAATATAAGGACATTTTTCTTAAAGATGACATTTGTAAGCAATTTCTACTACATCTGCAACTATAGATTGGCAGCCTCTGGCTTAGGAGGCTGCCACAAAAGCTTCACAATGCTCTTTCTTCTGGAGGTGGGAGGAAATGTGAGGGAGAAGACGGTCAGCTTCCCAAAAATAATTTTAAGGCCACATTTCAAAAAGGAGAAACCTAAGGCTGTTTTTTGTTTTTTTTTTTTTTGGAAGGGGGGATGGGAGAAGCAAGTTGGAGGAAAATGAGGAATGGGGGTGGCAAGGTGCAGAACCTGTTTTCCGGTGGTGGCTGTAGGCAGTTGGAGTATCCCCAGCCGAGGGAAGAGAGGCCACTTTCTCCCTGCGTGGGGCTTGGCAAGAACAGAACCAAAGACAACGTGAGGGATAGACACAGGTGGCGCATGAAAGCCCTCCTCAGTCTTAAGAGGGTCCTATACAGTATCTTGTTTGTAAGGTAAGAAAAATAATACTTCTAAGAGAAGGGAGGGAGGGAGAGAATTTGCATAGATCGTACATTCAACTCAAGCAGATTTGGACACCTTTATTCCCCCTCAGGTAAACTTCTCAGCAGACACAATGAGGTAGTGCCTGTGGTAGACCCATGGGCAAAGTAAGGTAACTGAGGCAGAAGCTAAGAGGACATCCAGTGAACCAGCACAGCTCTGCATGGGTTCAGAAGAGGCTTCCAGAGACGTGGCAAGATGGCAGCCAAAACTTGGGATTTGGAGAGAGCCCAGCTGTTTTGCACACCGCCCCTCTGTCTTTGCCATTTCTGCCTGACTTGATGTGGCCCTCTGGATGTCTAAGGGGTAAGAGTTCAGATCTCCAAATTCTGTTCCTTTTTCCCTTCAGCACAAACTGTCTTGGGACCAGGAGAGCCGAACAAGCCTCTTGTTCGGCTTTTTCCCTCCTCCACCAGGGCAACGCCTAACCTCATTTTAAACCACCTCTCCAGAGAGCAGAGGTTGCTGGCAGTGCAAAAGTGGAACTGTGGAATTTTTCTTTGACCACAGTGTGTGGAAAGAAAAAATAACCAACACTGAAAAATCAGATTTTCAACAAGACCTCTGGATTTCTGGCTTCCCTTACCCAATTGGAAGATCTCACTACACTGTGCTTGCGTTCTTACATGCAACGCCACGCTGGAGCTGTTCCTCCTGGATGGGTCCCCTGGATGCAGTGTCTCTCACCAGCCATTTCACGCATTTGTGCCCCCACTGTTGAGTGTGGTTTAACGGGGCAGACATACCTTGCTATGTTGACAGCTGTTTCCAGTGTGCCCCCGGGGATGCTGCTGGGGAGGGGTGTCCCTAATCCTCAGTGAACCTGGTTGTAAAAGGGGTCCTTGTCCATGCCACACACCCCGTGGCTACTGCTTTCCTGTACTTTCTTGGCAGAGTCCAAGGGTGCAGCCACCATCCTCTTAGTATTTGTAAACCAAAGAACCAGGAGGAGGCATGGTACTCACACCCCCAGGCAGGCATCCAGAGTACCTGCAGTTGCCCTTTTGGGGGTGGGTTGCATGGTCTAGCTTATCCTCTCAAACCTTTATTTGCATTTTAAAAGATAAACCAACAATGAGAAATAAAGCCAGAAGACCCTTCCCAAGGAAGGAACTAGTGCACTTCTTAAAACAAGAGGACCTTGGGCTTTGCTCACATCCTCCTTTATGCATGACTGGGGAAGTAGGATTTGGGATGGCTTGCTGTCGCCTGAGTGTCACTGGGGGGGTAGGAAGTCATACCGAGTGTGCCAGTCTATTTCCTTGGCTCCACAAACCACACGTAAGTCCTACCTCTAATTCTTCCTAAATTTCCAGGCATCTAGTCAGTGGCTCAGCCCTAGGCCCCGTACCCTGCTGGCTGTAATAGGGTTTCCAGAAACTTCACTCCTGTGCCTTTGAAATTCTCAAGCAGCCAGAGCTCCAGGCTGCCTGACCAATGGCCTCCCATCAATCAATCATTCTCAGGCATGTGGGAAAAAAAAAGGAGTTATTTTCCCTGGGAAAACATCCCCTTTTCTTAAATCGTGCTTTGTTTGGAATCATCCTCCTCCTTTTTTTTTTTTTTTTTGATGCAAATGTAACATCTGCAAAATTATTATCTGGACTAAAACCAGAGGAATACCCCAAATTAGTGCAAGAGGGGAGTGAAGCCTCAGGGGAAAGAGAGTGTCCCTAGAGCAAGTCAGCTCTGCCTTTCTCCACTGGTTCTGGGATGGAAAAGAGGGCAGAAATGTCAGTGGGTGTGGCCCTGTCTTGAAGTCTGCAGGCTCACACTCTGCACAGGGACCTACCACGGCTGAAAACACAGAGCCCTAGTGACTGGCAAGGAGAGTGAAAGGGAAGCCCTGGCCATAGGCAGAGGCAGCCCCCTCAGAGGTCGTACGGGCTTTCTGGGAGAGCCACACGGAGGCTCCTAGGACCACTGTTGACAACGGCTAGGTCTGGCCAGTCTTTTCCTGTAATGGAAGGGGCCAGTTTCCCTCTGTCATGGTTGCAGGGAGGGCCCCAGCTCTCTGTGGTCAGCACATGCCCCCAACCCCATTCCTGGGCCAGGGTGCCTCAGGGATTCCAACACTCTTGGAAATGAAGGGACAGAGCAGGCCATACCCTGTGTGAGACAGAGCGAGGCTCCAGCCCGCCAAGCAGTGGATGATGCAGGTCAGAGCTTTCCTCCTAGGGTGTCCCTGGAGGGTGGAGGGCAGACAGAAAGACGACAGGGGGCAGTGGGTGGCAAAGGCTGGGGGCCTTTTGTGAATAAAGGCGGCTCCAGTTAGTAAGATAACATAATTGACAAGCTGCAAAAAACAGCACCTACTAATTAGTCATTGACTAAAACATATAAATAATAAATATCTAAAGTGTCCCTTCTCTATGTCCTCAATTGCCAACAGGACATCCTGCCTTGCTGGGCGGGGGATGGGGTGACAAGTACCTTCAAGCCCACCCTGGAGAGAAGTATCAGGACGGGGTCTCCACCAGGGTGTGACTCTTCCGAGGGAACCCTGTCGTTCACGGGAGGTAGGGTGACAGGAGGAAGGGGCACCCATGGCAAGGAAACCTTGTAGGTTTCAGTAACTCAAGCATTTGAATAACACTATATTTTAAAACAACCTTCCCACTTGTATGGGCCTGTTGGCACTGTGGATAAAGGAAGGGTGTGGAATTAAAAACCAAATCTGGTGACTCCCAAGAGCATCGAGCGTGCAAGTTAGGAAAGTTTTGTGGGCCTGACCTCAAAATTGAAGGGCTCTGGCAGGTGACAGGTATGGCTGAGCTGTCTGGCTACAAGCGATGTCTTTTGAGTTTCGTAGCCATGGTCCCCCAAGATTGCATTTTCAAAGACCAGAGAGGTCATGCCCTTGGCTGCCAGGAGGTGGATGCTCACAGCATCGTCTTGTTTCTGCTGCTTTGTGTGGCAGCCTGGCCGGGGGGGGGCCCAGGATAGTTGGCAATCACACTTCTGGGTGGACCTTGGCCACACCCCATCAAAAGGCTTTTCTGCTCATCCAATTACTAAGGAGAATAGCTCAACCCATGGAGGGTTGCAGGGAGGCTCAGAGCCCTCTCACGCCTGCTACCTCCCTTGAAATGGCCATGACCATGACATTCAGGGACTTGTCATTGCAGGGTCTCCCAGCCAAGAGGAGCAGAGAGACAAGCTGAAGGGTGGAGCAGGAAAGCAAACCCACTGTCAGTCTGGGCAGTGCTGGTCTAAGTGGGTTTTGCAGAGCCCTTGGGTTCCGAAGAGGTACCTTAGGAGAGGCCCGCGGCAAAGGGACCGCCCGGTGGGCTGGGCTTCCAGAGGGAACCTCACACGTCACGTTCCTCAGCTTCAACCAGAGAAGCTGGGATTGCATCTGCACCTTGAACTTCTGCCTGCTATTGCGCTCAACGTTCCGCTGCTCAAAATAAAAGCTTGAAAATCACTGGTCTGGGGAGTAGGGGAGGTCGTGTCATTGGAGGGGATGATGAGGAACCTGTAGGACTTGAGGATCAACCAGAACAGGTGAGACCACCACGGCACTGGGACCGAGCCATCCCACCCCCAGCCTGCCGAACGCAGGTGGTCAGACCCCCCCGCTTTGGCCTGCTCACCTGCCTTCCCCACCATTCTATGGCCAGGAGAGCCCCTTGCACAAAAGGCAGCCCCTGGGGCCCAGGCCCCGCAGCCCCTATGGCTGCTTCCCCACTGAGATCCCCGCTCGCACCCAGTGCTACCTGAGCCGGCCATCGGGTTTGACTGCCCCCAGCTCTGACTTGGGGTCAGGGCTGAAGGAGCTCCAGGCCGTCTGGCTGCAGGTCTGCATGACGGGGCAGGCGGTGGGGCCTGTGGCACAGATGTCCATGGCGGTCCACATCCCACCCACCAGCGAGTCCAGCCAGCCCTCCAGGGCCGCGCCCGTGGAGGCCGCGTTCCTCCGAGCCTGCTCCACCTGGGCGGGGCTGATCGGCAGGCTGAGGACAGGGTTGAGGCTCTGGAAGCTCTGCTCCATGTAGGCGCTGCGCGGGGGCCCGTTGTGCAGCTTCAGTGCCTCCTCTGAAAGCCAAAGGGAACAGTTTCCGGATTAGAAGAGCCACCACCTGGACAGCTACTTAGCGTATGCTCGGTGCCGCACCGGACAGCACCTGTTTTAATTCACGTGACAATTTCATGAGGAAGTTCTTTTAGGAGTCCCATTTTATAGGTAAGGACTGAGCCCATTTTGTTCAGGGCATGACGTGTTTCTCTATTCATTCAACACATTTATGGAGTATCTTTAATAGTCCATTCAATATGTATTTTTAAGTACCTACTTTGTACAAGCCAATCATTCAACACATATTTACTAAACATCTATGATCTGCAAGGCATTTACTCCATAAATTATGTGTGTGTGTGTATATATATATATATATATATAGTGCCTATTAGGAACTGGGCTCTATTCTAGGTGGTGGAGTGAACAAGATAGGGAAAGCGCTTGCAAACCAGTGGAGAAAGATTGAGAACAAAAATAAACAAGGTATTGAGTTAGAGCAGAGGTTGGGCAAACTACAGCCCCTGTACCAAATCTGACCCACCACCTGTTTTTATAAATAAAGTTTTATTGGAACATAGCTATACTCATTTGTTTGCATATTGTCTATGGCTGCTTTTGTGCCACCATAGCATACGTTAAGTATCTGAGATAGAGGATGTATTTCACCTGAAAAGCTGAGAATATTTATCCCTTTTCAGAAAAACGTTTTCCAACTCCTGGGTTAGAGGGGGACATGGTGTTTATGTTATCTGGGGTGGGCAGGGGAGACCTCTCTGGGTAGGTGACATCTGAGTGCTGATTAACAAACAGACCTGAGGAAGGAAATAGCAAGAGGACATAAACAGGTGGAAGACTATACCACGCTCGTGGGTCAGCAGAATCAACATTGTTAAAATGTCTATACTACCCAAAGTGACCTACAGAGTTGATGCAATCCCTATTAAGATACCATCATTTTTCACAGATACAGAAAAACTAATTTTACGCTGTGGATGGAAGCAGAGAAGACCCCATATAGCAAAAGCAATCTTAGGCAATAAAAACAACATGGGAGATATCAATTTACCAGACTTCAAAGTATACTACAAGGCTATAGTAATTA